TCCTCCTGCTCATGCAATCATTTCTCTTTCAGTATAGTAAACAATAAACTGATTTTTTTCATTTGGCTTACAGCATTTAACAAGTGTTGCAGGTGCAATGAATAGAGCCCCTCTTTATTCAAATGTAAAGAGGAACCCCCGTGAGGGCAGGTTTTTACAGTAATATACTATACATGCAGTTACAATATGACACTCAAATAACTGAGGCAAAGGCAGTCTTTTATATAAAATGTTAAAAAGCCATGCCAGTGTATCACAATCACTCATTTGAAAAGAACATTGCTTAATGAGATCATCAGCATGGATGTCCAGTTGCAGACCTTTGTCTTGCTCACTGCAGATTACAGTCTAACCTTCATAAGAATGGTCAGAGGTAAACACTCAACTTTTTGCAGTCTCAATTTACCAAATCATATTGAAATTATCTGCAAGCAGGGTGCTGCTGTACTGCATTCCATTTAATAATGCATAGACTTATTAACAAGTTAAAAGCTATTTTAAATTTACCTTTTAAAGCAGTGCATGGCCATGCTAAAACCAAGGCTCAGATTCACAGCAGCTGAGTAGGATTAGGTTAAAAACATGCACATGAAAACAGATATGTATCACATTTGATACAAGTCTCAAAAGCCCCCATTGTACTTCTTAGGGTGCAGGAGAATCTAAATATAAGGCTTACTTCAAATTCAGCTCTAGAACAAAAATGAAGATCACTGCCATGACAGATATGAAAACCCCACAGCTGCTAAACAGTGTGACAGTCATGTTGAAGTCAAATGAGAAAGAAAAAGCTACAAATATATTATTCCAACCTTTCACCAGGTTGTGAAATTCAGCGTTTAAGAATGGAATTGACATTTATAACGTATGATTAGCTTTGTGCTGCACGGGGTTGGTATTCTTGCATAACGTAGTTTTCAACATATCCTCTAGTTATTCAGATATTCCTAGCATGTGAGTTAAGAAAACACTGCTCAAATTAATTTGCTGTCCCGTGTCACAGGACAACAGAAAAATCAAGGATACGGATGTGTTAACAGCACCTTTCACTAAACAGTCTGTTATATTTTTTATGATCTTTTATTTTCAGTCATACAGTATGTTCAGAGGAAAGCCATGATCAATTCTTCAGTTCTGTCTGAGTGACACTAATTATCAGTAATCTTCTCCATTAAAGAAGACCACATTTCTTTCTATTGATTAACACGACTCTCAAAGTGATTACATCTTGTCCAAATTGCTTGCTTAAAAAAAAAAGAACCTTAATTGAACACAATGACCAGTGGGACCATTAAACCTCGGAAAAACAACCCTTAATAATAGCTAGATGGCTGCCGCAAGTGCCTCCATCATTCAAGGACAGATCCACCTCTGGGTTGATCTTTTAACCCCCCTCCTCATCCTAACAGAACGGAGATAAGGCAGCAGGTATCCCCATCCAACATTACCTCCTGTGCAGAACTCCTGCTCCTGGTTGGCGACAGGACCTGTAATTCACTTTCATGTCTCTCCCCTCTCCAGTCACTGATCACCGATACACTGAGGAGGGAGAGCCCCCCCCTTCCCACCTCCCCACCTCCCCACCTCTTTTCCAACCCCTCCCTCTCTCCTAGCAACAATCCATTTATTCTGAGTGTGCCCATATCACAGTTGACAGTAATGATTTCCTAGCAAGTAAATTTTTGTTAAGATTAGTTTTCATATCTCTAAGTGACATTGACGGAATAGCTGTTGTGGTGTGGGGAGGGAATGGAGCCAGCTGGTTCAACATGAGAACCGCACAGCGGTGAATGATACAGTATCACTGATGGGCTGCAAGGAATTAAAACAGCATCCAGTTAGAAGAGCAATAATATTATTGGGAATAAGAGAGTATTGCATGCTGCAGGGACCATTTCTGTCCTACTGTATTTTATGCCGTATTTTTTGAGTAATATGAGTTATGTGGTGGTCCTAATTGGTAACAGAAACAGATACCCTTGTACTTTCTGTGATATTGTTTCATGACGACAGTTGCACAGACTGGAAGAAAAATTCTGTGTTTTATGGGTTGAGGTATTTAGGAGATTTGATTCCACTCTGCAAAGGTTCATCACTCCAGCAAAGATTAAAAGAAGACTTTACAGAGAAGGACCTCTGTACCACATTTAGTAAGCAGAGGAAGGACTATGACTTTAAATTCTGCTTATTTAATTAAGATGTACTTGAGAAATTGATAAAGTGATTTTGAAGATAAACTGAAGTAAAGGTTATAAATTCCCTTGATAATGTTCCAAACTGACGTATTGGTTGAATAGATAAAAATAATTGTAATCACAGTTACATTATATTATTATTATTGTTGAATCCTTGATTACAGTAAACCGTGTCCTAGTAAAAAAATTGTACATTGCTGTTATGTCACGTGTTGCTCTCTTAGTCACAGTGTGTTTTAATCAATAAATGAATATACAGGTATATTTTAATAAGAAATTAACTTCATCAAAATGATTGCAATGTGGGCTTGAAAAGTTTCAAAGTTGAACTAATAAAGTAAATTAATGCCAGGAGCAAATGGTCAGGTTTGTATGATAGGAACTGTGAAGAGATATTTACACAGTGTAATATCATTTATGGTTTCTGGAACTTCTTTGAAGACAATATTATAGTTTCTGCTGTGGACATTATTCAATAACATTACTGAAACTATTAAGTGAAACCGTTCTGAACCTTAATGTGTGAAGTTTCATGTATTTAGTATTATTTAACTTATTGAAAGGCATTTGCTAAGCAAATAAATAATATAGTGTAACCTTACCAGGACATTCCATTGTCCTGACTCAAAAATACCTTGGCTGGTTTGGCTTTATGAAAGAAATGACAGGAAATCCCACTTGATACATTAACAATATATAAGAAGCATTTTGCGATAATTCAGATGGCGGATGACAGGTCATGTACTGTATCACTTTTGCCTTTGATGTTTTTTGGAAACTGTCAAAAGGGGAAAGCAGAGTGTTGGACAACGTGCCATCTCCCTGGGTTCTGTGGTCTGCACTTTATTTGTAAATGCTTCATCTCCTGTATTTGAAAATACAAATAACAAATACTGTACAGTACATGTACATTGATTGGAAGATATTGGTCCTGTCACTTTGTTTCTGAAATGTGATCATGTGGATTTTGCATCTCCATATCAGCTGTGTAATTAAAAGCTTTACTTTCTTGCCTGTTGTTTAATCTTTTGTCAAGCTGTGGAAAGTTGTACAATAAGAAGAGTCTGTTTTACCCATATACGTAAGTGATGTTTATCAGGATTTGAGTGTAGGGAGGGTGCCTTCTTACTTAGAAACTATCTAGAATGATATTTTGAAGCGGATTAGTATTTTTCTTTTTCATGGTTACTCATTGATCAGTCCCCTGTTTTTCTGATTCAGTGAAAGCAAAGTTAAAACACATTCTCTTGTAATGTCAGATAATACTGGTGTTGCAACTTATGAATACAATCCCACAAATACATACAAATGGTAAAACAGTTTGTTACTGCAAAAGTTCAATACTAAATGCCAGGGGCAACACATCACCTTTGTCTACGTCAGTCCATCGTCATTACTAACTATAGCCCTTCTAAATCGGACTGCTTGACTTTGGGGCATTTAAGACACTGTCACTTTAAGGCTCATTTCACCCTTTCAGAATACCATATGTCTTTATTTGCCCTGAACTGCAATTATACATGTTTCTACTTTGGCCAAGTGCTTAAGAGATGCTGTCTTTTTCTGGTGTGAGTTGTTGTTCTTGTGTTAATTGTGCTTCACATTATCGTACCTTGGATTTTAATTTTAGTGTGCATCTATGCTACAGAAAAGTCTTGGTCATGAACCGATTGGTCATTTTTTATGGTCCCCTCTTATGACACTGAATCCAATTTGATTCTGTTAGTTCTTTTTCAGAGAATTATAAACCATGTCAGCCTCAGACCCTTGAGTCGAATGTATGTTGTAGAAGAAAGAGGGATTGTTTCTGCCTGATGGGTAAAAATTATTAGTGTCCAGTAGAGCATGAGTGTATGCATTGATTTGGGACATTTTGCAAGTTTTGTTCAGATCCGGCTTCAGAGGCATTAAATGGGTTTCACAGATGAAAAGTCAGCCGATATCCAACAATATTATAAATTACCCTTTAAACAGGTAACACTTACCTACAACTTAGCATTAGCTGAATCACAAATGTCTTAAGTTCATTTCATTAGGACTAAAGCTTGTTTTTGTATTTTGATGGGGCGGGGGTTGGTTTCATTAAAGAAGTCAGATAAGGTCAAGGGCCTTAATGTACCCATATCCAAGCGTGTGTCTAGTGCTTAAAGGCAGGAGGTGTGCTAGACATATGCATCTCATTGCAATTCAGAATTGTTTTTGTATGAATTTTAATTATCTAGCCCCATACAAAATATCATGACTAATGACCTGTCCTTGCTGCCCTGATATGTTTAATTTTGTGGATGCAGATGGACTGCTCAGACTGCCGTGTGCTCTCTGCGACCTTGCCCAGGCGTGCCATGGAAAATGGCACCACTGGAGCATGTCATTAGAGCCAAACAGATTTATGCCCTAAGATCTTGAGCCTGCTATAGGCCCATGGATAATATAAGACAGCATGATTATTTATTTTTTACATTATGTTTCAGGGGTCATTTTGGAAATTCCTGTTCAGTTCAAACTTCAGAAATTCATACTCACACATTTTAAAGCCACATTTGCTATTCGACTATGATTGACTAATATAAAATATAAAATACAGCTATTCAGCAACGTAAACCGTTTCAACCCACAGTTTCAAATCACTTTTTTCAAAAGGAATACCAACCAACATAATAGCATCAGGAGTTAATGGCCTGAAATTACAGGAGTATGGACAGACAGACAGGTTTTGCTGTTGAAAGAAGTTTTACATACCAAATAACAATAAAAGTAATTGGCAACATATTTAATGTGTTTTCCTCTCTCTTTCTTTTTTCCCAGGTATTTCAGTTACGAAGAAGACACACACTTGTAAGTTACTGAACATTTTTTGTGTCATTTTTCTCCAATACATTAATTTCTTGACCTTGACTTGATTATTTAAGTTTTGAAAAAAACAACAGAAAAAAATCTCTCCATTACTTCACATTTTTGGTCCTTCAATGAGCTCAGCACTACAGTGTGGTTTATGAAAAAGGCTATTCTCTTATTTTAATATTGTATTTACTTTTATAAATAAATCTATGATAACATAAGAAATTCCAACACGAGAACAGAGGCCAACCAAGTGAATTCATTAATACAGTATAATATGAAATATCATCCTATAGTTCTGCTTCATAATTATCGGCTTTGATTCACTTTTAGTTTAAATTGGGGACCTTTATCAGTAGTAATTACTGGAAATGGGTCAAGATCACCTTGTATCTCTGCAGACTCAATTGTCTGGAGTCTTTTCTCAAATCATGATGCTTTCTATGAAGTCAGTTTCTTCTAAATAGGACATGTGTGATTTTTCTGGGTTTTCGCACTGTGTTGTAACAACCTGTTAAGAAGGTATTTGGTGTTTAAATCACAGTTAGAATGCAGGCATGGGTATTGGTGAGCTATTTTAAATGCACTGGAACTTTGCATGCAATGCCTCTCTGACCATCAGTCAACACAGAATGTTGTCTTGCAGCTGTCTGTATGTTATGTTGTTGACTTTGTGATGTAACAAAACTGGACTGTTTCCTGCAATTAGCTTTTTTGTAAGAGAATTTATATTTTGAATTGTTTTATTCACATGAAAACAAAAAACGTTAACGATTTTAAACTTCAGAGTATTTCAGGATATTTTAGTTAATACTTTGGAGTAAAATGTCCATTAAATGGTATATAGGTTTATAGAATGTTGTAAATCAATTGAATATACCAACTTATTTCATTTTTTAGATATGCAAAAATAGTGTATCAATGCAGTCATTATTAAAGTGCTTATGTATGAAATGAAAAGGGCACCTACGTTAACAAAGGAGTAGTTTCTGGTGCTAGAACAGATACATCCCTGATTTTTCACTGTCTGTTTAATTTTGTCCTGCATTTCAATTGGTTTCTTGTGTAACTGTCGTATTAACATTATTATATAAAACAGCAAAAATGTAAATTAAGCTTCCTTCTCATATGACTACATCACAGTCATGAGGAGAAATGCCAGCCAGTTTGCTGATGCTTTTCTTTGTTGTCTACTTTGTTGTCTGCTCAGCTCTCTACTTGAAACACAAGGATGTGGTTTGACTGTAACCCTAAAGTGCCTCTTTAACTTTGAACTGTCTCTGGCTGCTCTTTTTTCTAAGTTTGAGAGACATGAGCCAAAGAGACCTTGAAACATTATGTGACACAGCATGGCACTGCATGTGCACTGCTCATCCTCTGATAGCACAAGTTGAAGCTTAGCCAATATGCCTTCTAATCCAGAAATACAACACTTCAGAATTCTAAATTAGCTGTAATTAACCCATTGCCAATCAAGATGCCTGCATTCCTGGCAACTGAAGGGAGGAAAAAAGAATTTTAGACCATGAATCGCTGCATATTTTTGTGCATAATGTAAAGACCAACTTTGTTGCAGGCACATAGTATATCTTTATATAATCGTGTTTATAATTTTAAACAGGCATGCACACGGACACATACAGTATATATGAGTTAACTGTAATCCTCTATATTGGATGGGTTCACTGTATCCCAGAACTGTCTTTGTTTACTGGCTCTGCTGCTTTTCCAGATGCTTTGAAGAGCTTTATCATTTTTTTTTGTATGGGATGAGAGGCGGGGAGGTTTGATGTGGTGGCTAGCTGAATGTCTTAAACTTCTCGTTTGCCCCCAGGGGAGTCAACTGTTATCATTTTTGATTGGTAATCCTAGACTCCTCTCATGGGAAAGGCGCGTATCCATATGGAGAGCCATGAATCCGATGCTTTTTCTTTCTCTATCAATTTTCGCTGTTTTTGCAGGTGAAAGCAACTCTGGCCCAGCGCCCTGTTTTGAAGTTCAGATCTTTGTTGTTTGGAGCTGTGTGCACATGGTTGAGCTTGGAATGTAGCTGGAACAAATCTATTTTCTTGGAGAACATGTGATGCTGTTTCTCAACAGGAGAAAGTAGCTGGCTGACAAAAGGGTTTTTTGTATGCTGTGTGCCTCCAGCTTCAGGCAGAGTCCATTGGTAGTTTCCTTAACTCATAAGCATGTTTCTAAGACCAAAAGAAACTGTGAGCTGGATTGGTGAGCTACTCACAAGGGGATGTTTACAGAGGCTATCAATGCCTACCCAAGTGGTGTGGTTTCTTTATCAGCTTTATTACTTTTGTCTTGTGAAGCAGAATGTACTGCAGAATATGCTCAGCAACACCCAGCGAAATGGAATGCACCATTATGGTTGGAGAATGCAAGCTGTGGTCATACAGTTTTGAGCACGTTGACCTGTCTTTTATCACCATGTGCGAGAAACAGCTGTAATTTGAGAACAGTCCTTTGGATGAAAGTCTTTGACTTTGCACACTCTCCTTTGCTGCACATCCTGCTGCACCCTTAATTAGCCTACTGCACAACACCTTTTCAGGTTAAAGGAAAGGAATCAAAGCATATGTTTAAAAAGCCTGGGTTCAAAGCTGAGGAAAACTCTGTTATTCTATTTTATTTAAATGAGAACAAGCAGAAAAATGCAAATCTATCATACAAGAAAATCAAAGTCAACCTTGAACTTCCTCAGAACTGCTTAATTTAGCTGAAATATAGAGGGAGAAGGCCTGACCCAGGTCCAGTGATTAAAGCTCATTAATGAAGAGGCAGCACAAAATGATTCAAACACCATTAAAAAAGGCAAAAGCGTGGTAATAAGAATTACGCAGAAGAGGAGGAAGATGACAAAGTAATTCCCTCATAAGAAAATGGTACTTAATACAATTTATTTATGTGCTTGGCTTGCCTTCTCTTGTTACAAGCATTCAGACTACAGTCACAGCTGAGTAATTGGATGTGCTGCTAGTCTTTTGTGACTGATCAAGCTTTGGCCTTAAAAGCAAACTCCAAGACAGTTCTCCTCTGACTCGGATGTCAATATCTCCTCCCTGTAGCAGGAAAATGCTGCAACTGTGGTCGGTGTGTTCGTATTTCATTTCTTCACTGAGCTTGGAAAGATTGATTCAGCCCTTCAGAGCAGTTTGCCAGCCCCTTCATCAATATAAATTATAAGGGCAGCTGTATTCTGGCAGAAGTGTCTTAGATGTAGTTGTTCACTGAAAGTTAATAGGGTGAAGTATTCTGTAAAATAATGGTTCTAAGCTTCCAATACTTCATGCATAGCCCTAGTGACCATATCACCCCTTTCATTCAGCACAGGAAAGAATTTTTAAAATGGGCTCAGTTTTCTAAAGGCTCTATAATGTTGTGAAGGTCCATTAGCCACATTGCTCTTACTATAGTCCAGTTCTCTGTAAGAGATTGTCCCCGATTTTCCTGTAGCAGAAGTTTCTGGTATAACATATACAGTACCATGTGCATGAAAGCTCCAGTAAATAATACAGAGTGCTTGTTTTAATGTGAGATCTTTAAGGCTATATCTGTTTTGTTTTGAGTTTTTTTAAAACACCAGTTTAAGTTAGAAAGACACTTAAACTTAGACGTTTCTCATTGTTAACAGCCAGCATTGGAAATATCCCTCAAAGGCATATCACAATAAACACTTACAAATATTGGCTTGTTAGCTTTTCACCTTCCAAAGAACAGTAGTCTAGACTGCAGGTTTCACAAGGAATAATGTGTTTCCGTGTGCCCTAGAAAACAGAGGCATTGACCTGATAAACAGTATGTAACAACACTGATAGTTTAATAAGTAGCACACCAGCTTTTGTTTTAACCTGTTTGCTGAAGTTAAAGAGGTGAAGGGTTATTGTTGGGGAACCCTGACATTTTATTTCAGATTTCCCTTTGCAGCTAACAACAGATTTCTTCACTTCTGAAAGAAATCCCCTCCGATATATGAAAGTGCATTGCTGTGGAACACAAGAAGCATCACCGACTATGCAAGTTTCATATTCCTAGAAAAGTATTAAGCATCACTGCCCATATCTTTATCTGAGTAGTTTAAAACCCATCTAATTATGATAAAGCACAGTTTTTTGCAAGTCAATTGTTTAAATAGGGTGATTGTTTAAAGATGAAATAGGTGATACAGTATCTTATAAAGGAATGTAGTTTTTACTGATAATGCATAGGAAATCGAGGCTTGTTTTATTGTGGAAGATACTTAGGGTTATGTTTCTTATAAATGTTGTAGGAGATATACAGTGTTATTGCACAGGATATTGTATGGTTAATCTCTGATCAAGAAAAAAAAAGAAGTTTAAGCACACTTGTTCTTGCGGATTGATGGTAGTGGACTGCCCTGGAGAACATCAAAAGTGTGATAACAGTTAAAAAAATTGACTACGGCTGTCTTTCAGAATGAGCTGGAAAACGGATGCATTATTATTAGGTGTACTTCATTGTATCTTCTTAACTGTGTTTTGAGGCAAACATTAACAGTCTCTAATACCATGTTTAATAATGTTACGATTTTATAAAATAAAGAAATATCTGATAGAGCTTTGAATAAACAGCATTTCCCTTTTGTTGCTGTTTTTTCATGTGATCTTGTATATATTGTAACTATCAATGGAAATCTGTTTCAGATTTGTCTGAAGGGTTTGTACAAGTGATCAAGAAAAAAAATCAACTAAGCACTTGTTGGGCAACTTTCTTTAATTTTGAATAAAATTATTTTTAAAAATAATTGTTATGCTTTCCATGAATTATTAGGTGATGTTTCAAAAGGACCTCCTCCAGCCAAACAGTGGTTAATCAAAACTGTTTAGTAAACATTTTGTAATTTTGTTGAAAGCTGATTATCTGACACTAAGACTTCCCTTGCATTCTCTCAAATCCCCATAAATCCTCTTGAGTAAGAGAAAGCAGCTTCTATGTTCTACAGTATCTCTCTAATCGTTATGATG